AGCCAGCAGCCAGCAGCCAGCAGCCAGCAGCCAGTTGGTGTTCCAGTTCCATGGAAACCGCATTCCTGCCCCAGAAGGCTGTTTGTTCTCATGTGAACCTCAAGGTTGTCTCCCTGGGCTGTAAGCACAACACCCAGGGTGTTCTCCTCCAGGCCCACATGTCTCACTTAGGTCCCATATCCTCTTTCCAAGCCCGCCCTCTCTGAGCTGCTTCCTGTAACTTGTGATCTGGAAAGCCAGATACCGGCAAATCAGAAAGGAGTAGAGGTAACCAGCAAGAACTTTTCACTAAGACCCAGCAATGTGGTATGGAGTTTTGGCTCCTGAGCCCACTCAGTAGGACTGCCAAGCACCACGACACTCCATGTACCACAGCATGGTCATGTATAATGGGGCATTCACGTATCACATTGTTATGTATTGTGGGGTTGTCATTTGTCACAGGATCGTCATGTAGGATGGCCTGCCATGTATCATGGAGCCGGGAGGAGCAACTACAATTCCCAAGGAAGAAGGAAGATCTATGAGGACAGGAGGGGGTAACCAAATAATAGGCATCCAAATTGCAGAAAAGCAGAAAGGAGGCCTGCTCACAATCGTGAAACAGAGTACCAGAGAAGTATGGCCTTCCTGGCCAAATCCAAGGTGCTCCTTCTGCTGCTTGGCAGACCTGAGTGGAGGGATGGAACCTAGAGACAGTGCTTATTACCACTGAGTGGTGCACAGGACACAGCAGGTCTTAAAGGGCCTAGGATGTGCATGGAAGATGGAACCCTGAGAAACTGGGACATCTTACAGGGACACTGCCTTGGACTGCCCTGGGCAATGAGGACATGTAAACACACACACACAACAATGTCTATCAGCACTTAGCATGAGCAGGGAGCAATGACCCCTTGATTCTCAAACTGACTCTGGGTAGTGGCTGCTATTGTTATTTCCATTTTACAAGTGAGGAAACAGAGGAGCAGAGAGAATCTGGCCCAGTGAGGGCAGAACCAGGGCCTGAGCTTCGTAGTATGATGTTCAACTTGCAGCTCACTTTAGAATTTGGGGGTGTATGATAAGCAGTCATACCAGTGCCTTCTTCCCAGACTGTAATGGGCTTAGATAAGAGATGTAGAAAATCAGGACCCCAGCCAGCACAGCAGATCTAGGGGAGGATAGCTGCATAATACATACCTTATAGCCCAGGATGAGCCCATTCTGGTCCTGCTCAGGGACGGATGCCCATGTCAATAAAATCTGGGTGGAGCTGACAGCCTCTGCGGATACATTTTCAGGGGCGGCTGAAGGAACTGCAGAGAATGAATTATACTGGTTACCATCAAAAGTCTAAAATACTTCTATAAATAAATAAAACTTTCAGTCAAATAATCAAGTTGTCCTTGAAATAGTGATATATGCTGAGCATTCTGTAAGAATCAGATTAAACTTGCAGGACTATACCAGATATGTAAATCTCTTTAATATTAGCAACAAATTCCATAAATCCTAGGTATTTAGAGCTCAATTTCACCTGAGTCCATCCAGCAAGAAAATATGCTTAGTCTGTCTTCTGTGATAATTCACGCCCTGGAGGCTCTTTATCTTAAATAGGGAACCTCGCTCTCAGACAGATACAGGTCTGACTTCTCAGTGATGGGGACAGGAGGACTGAACAGAGGATGACTTTATGATGTACTCAGAGAAAAGAGGAGGAGAGGTTTCCCACGTGCTGTCTCTGGGCCGAGGGTCCTCAGCGTCCTGATCGAGTTGATTCCCCCTGGTGATCCAAGGTGTTGTTAACCCTGCCTACAGATGGGAGGCCTGAGGCTGGAGGAGCCTCATCATTGTTTCTGTCTAAAGGAATATCTGACAGGGAGACAGGATTGCCTGCACTGACATTGGTGCAATTCCTGGCCCCTGTGCATGTCAGATTATTTTCATGCTTTTACACATTCTTTCCTTCATTGATGTTGTCACAAACTGTTTTGAGATGTATGCCAGGATGCAGATGTAAAGTGTATAAAGATAACAGTGAAGCCTTAAAAACAAGCACTTTATACTTTAGATAATCTCAATTGCTTAGCTAATTTTCTAATAGATCCATTTACACTTCAAAGGCAGCTCAGACAGGAAAAAAATGGACCTGGGGAAGTACTTAAGGAAGTTGGAGGATGCACCAGTTATTATAACAGGGCATGAGCAAAGCGGGCTCTGGGCCTGGGCCTTATGGTCACACTATACCAGGGCGAGGAGGAGGAGGCCCGCTTGAAGTTCACTGTGTCTCACGGAGGATGTGAGAGCCCAGCTCTCCCTTTCCAGGTGCCCAACACTTTGACTTAGCAGACAATCTTCAGCATTAGTTCTGAAGACACAGAAGTGACGGTACTGTAAGCTCTGGTCCTGGAGGATGAAAGCACTGCTGGGAGTAGAGGGCACAGTCTATAGGGCTCCATGACAGTGGGCTCCTCGAGTCCACTCCCAGGGGTTTTCCTGATTCTCTTTCCCTTTCCTATTCACTCATTCACTCACCCATACATCCCTAAGGGCTTCTTCCTGGTTGCAGAGCCTGTGGGTTTGCACTGTAATGCTGCTCTCTGCCATGGGATTGCTCCCTGCTCTAGGTCAAAATGCACTGGCCTTTGTCAGAAGCTGAATCCTGTGATTCTCTAAATTCCTGTGTTGGAGTTCCAAATCCAAGTACCTCAAAATGTGAGACATTTGGAAACAAGACAGTTGAGATGCAGTCATGGAGTAGGGTATACCTCTAATCCAACTGACCAGTGTTTTATGAAATAGGGTAATTTGGGGACAGAGACACATAGGGGCAATTTCATGGGAAGATAAGAGAGCTGCTGCCATGGCCCAAGGATGCCCAGAGACTGGAAAGGGGCTGGGGTAGAGCCTTCCTGGTACCTTTGGACCCTGGGCCTCAGACTCTGGTCTCTGGAACTGTGAGAAAATACATCTCCATCATTTCAGTCACCCACTTTGGGGTACTCTGCTAAAACACCAACATCCTTTTTATGACAGAATGCCAATATTCATAAAAGTCTAGAAATTTGGCAAGCTTGACCACTGTCAGGTGATTATGTGGTGTGAGGTAAAGAAAGAGGAAGATCTCCACCAAGACACAGCATGGTGGCAACCCTCCTTGGGCCCTCTCCCTGGCCCACTGGCATCAGACTACCTTTGGGGCAGGCCAGTGAGTGTTTCTATAACACAGAAAAGGTGCACCTTCTAGGACAGGCTGCAGGCTTGGTTATATATATAGGAAGGAAAGTATTGGTCAGCCCAACCTAATAGATAATCTTCTTCCCAAATATGTCAGGTGAGAATCATTCATTCTGTTAGTCACTCAACAAATGGAATCCATGTATTTGAGCAGATATGTCACACAGAAGGAATACTGCTAATTTTCAGTGTAGTTCCTTCTCTGAAGAGGAAGGATATTTATCCCAGAGGCCTTCCAGCTGTGGTTCCTGTGGCTCATGCACACATCCCTAGCCCACAAGGGCGCTACCTGGGCATCTTAATGCCTCTGCAGCTATTGCAAGGAAATGGCTTACACATATTTATTTTATTAGAAAAGAGTAAAAGCCAGTACTTTGAAACAACTGGAATTAAAGGAGTCACTATTACTAAAGGAAGTTAAAGCTACAATTGATCTGACTTTATTAAAATGAGAATACCAGATGTATTTTATACCCATGACTTTAGCGCTGTGTGCTAAAACCTATCTCCACCTGTAAAAAGAGGTCACTGTCATGGCAACCCAATGGTCCACCTCTCAGACCTTGAACTGCTTCCTGCAGGTCAGTCTTTGAAGCTGTAAGTGCTCAATTCTCACTACAGATCCAGAAATGATTGCTGATTTTCCAAGATGTGGTAGGTAACAGGCACATCTGTCTACTGGAGAGCCAGCAAGGTCCCAAAGAACCACAGCTATCTGGTGACTTTAGCAACTCAGGCTCTGTGCTTTGAACATGCCTGAACTTCTCACAAGGGAGAGTGAGGTGGGCTGCTAGAGAAGAAAGAGTAAATGGCAGAGTTTGGGATTAAAATTTCAGCTAATTCAAATTCTAATCAGAGACAATCTGCCATTTTGTTACCAGGTATTGTCTAAAGTTTTGAAAAAAAAAAATCTTACCCATCACCTATTTTGAGATAGATTTAACTTCTTTTCCAACATCTTAAATTTTCAGCTGTTCTGAGAAATTCCCTTTCATCAACAACTCATTCCAAGTGCTTACTTTCTACTTCTCCACCTGTCTTCTCTCCTCTACAGGAGTCTCACTGTGTAGTTCATTGCTTCTCCGGATGTAGCCTCTTTTGATTTTTTAAGCCTCATTTATCTCTATAATATATCATAAGATGTCATGGAACCTGTTAGAGTGTAGTCCAAAACTGTAAACATCATTTAAATGTGGCTCAAGGTGTCCTTTCCATGTTTCCAGCCCTCTTTTTGAGGATTTCAGGGGACTCCAGTTTTCATTGATGTGAGACTTTTACATGGACAGTGATTGGGAGCTTTGTTCACCCTTCAGCTCCCTCTCCAACCCCTCCCCTGCCCACTGGCTCCACTGTTTAGCCCCTGCAACTATCATGCTCATTTGTCCTTCCTCCAACTAAAATAATGAGCTGGACTATGTAGGATGGATTTCTGTGCTCAAGACAGAGTGCTATGTGTTATTTGGAAGGAGAGAAGCAAGAAGTCATAATCACTGCACTAGGTGGGGAATGGGAGCCAGAGAGAGGAGCCCACAGGGAAGGAAGTTCTCAAAACTATCCAGAAGGTGGAGGATCTGAAGTCCTATAGAACCCACAGCATTGTAGGAGCACCTCAATCTCCCCTGGCATGTATGTGCAGTTGGAGTCAACACTGAGAACCAGCCCCTAACGGAGAGATCAACTCAAAAGGGGTCCTGAAAACCCTATAATTAAAGCACTAAAGATGTCTGAAAACTGAATCTTGAAAACTCCAAATCTTGAAGATCAATAACACAGTTGTTTAATTTGTGATGAAAATACTTGAACCAAAACTCTTCTCTTTCTCCCAAAGAAATGTGTTGTACTGAAGTTTCTAGCTAAACAAAACGATTCAATGGAAATCTAAAAAAGAATTTTCTGTTGGTTATAACCTTCAGAAGAAAAGACAGGATGACTCATCAAGCAAAATTTCAGCTGCAAGAATGATTCTTCCTCTTGCTCAGAAAATATCTCAATTAAATAACTACGAATACAACCACGCTTCAGTCAATAGTTCATTCTGCATGGGCTTCTTACAATTTCCCTCCAGCTACACATGAGGGGTTTAACTTAAGACAAAGCCAAATACCATATGCCTCTCTTGCTGTGAAGTCTATTCCTCAACATTATTCTACAAAATAAACAACACTGCTTGAAAAAGTTAACTCAGAGTTACTGTGAAAGAGATACATGACTATCTGAGAGAACAAAGCCAGAAAAAAACAAGAAAACTACTGTAGGTTTCAATAGCTAGAAATGGCCAGGCATGGTGGCGCACATCTGTAATCCCAGCACTTGGGAGGCTGAGGCAGGAGGATTGCCATGAGTTTGAGACCAGCCTGGGCTACATAGTGAGTTCCAGGTCAGTCTCAACTACATAGTGAGAGCCTGTCTCAAAAAAAAAAAAAAACAAAAAACAAAAAACAAAAAAACAAAAACAAAAAACAAGACCTAGAAATGTTTGTAGGAAACATATAGATCCAACTCAGCAATTTTGCATTGGTTTACTGCCTTTGAGGAGTATTCTTTGCAAAGTTACTAAAACAATGTTTTCATTTTTATTACATTTCCTTAATTTTTATATACCATGTAATTTTGTTGTTTTCTGGATGAAATCCTGGAAAAATAGTCTAGCTGGGTACAAAAGTTGAGCTTGATAGTCCTTTCTTTCAGCTCCTGAAAGATGGTTACCCAGCCAATCTCTGGCCTTATAGATCTTGAGAAATTACATCAAATTATTGCAATTACCTTTCTGGGTTATCTGACTTTTGTTCCAACTGCTTTTACAGCTTTCTTTTTTACTTTAGTCTTTTATAGTTGTACTATAATATATTTTTGTATAGGTTTATGCTTCTTTAGAACAATAACATCTTTTACCAATTCTGGACTTTCTTAGCAGATCTATGCACATTCCTTCCCTTTCTATTCTGGAGTTCTATTAGATCCTTGCAGCTTGTTTTTTGTCATTTAATCTATGTCTTATTTTCAATCTTTATGTTTTTCTCTGTATTTGAGTTACAGGCTCAGATTTAGCCTCCAATTTGGTAATTCTCTCTTTAACCTC